ACGTGCAGCCACTGGGCACTTGAAGAGTGGCTCATCTGAATTGAAACATGTTGTGAGTACCAAGGATACCCTGGATTCCAAACATGTAGTACAAAAGGGAAAAAAAAAAGAATATAAAATATCTCATTAAGACTTCATTGTGTTGAGTATATATTGAAGTGATGATATTTTGGATAGATCTGGTTAAAGAAAATATATTACGAAAATTAATTTCACCAGTTTCCATCTACATTTGTTAATGGGAGCAACTAGAGAAATTTTAGGACATCTGTAGCTCACTTCCTATTTCTACTGAACGGCGCCAGTCCAGAGAGTTGTACTGTAGAGAAGAGCAGCTAAGTTCCAAGCTGGGGGTAAGTGTGACATTACTAGCTAGCCCAAGGTGCCAAGGGAGCCCAAAGGAGACTTGGCCCCAAGTGCAAGGGGCAGGGGTAGGAGGTGCCAGAGCAGCTTCCTAGAAGGGTCCACATCTAAACCAGCCGCAGGACAAATGTGAGTTAGCTCCAGGACCAGCGCACTTCACACTCCGGGAAGGAACCTGATCTATACAGAGGCATAAAGCTGAGAAGCCCAGTGAGCTTCAGATAAGTCTCCAGTGGCCGGAGCAGAGGAAGTGTAAAGAAAGTAGTGAAGCCAGAAGCCAGAAAGCTGACCGACGTCAGCTCCAGAAGATCAAGTCCAGTGCTGTCCAGCAGAAGTCTAACATGAGCCACGCTCAAAGTTTCCAGTTTTGTTGTAGCCACAATCAGAAAAGTAAAACGTGGACAAAATTCACTTTAGTAATATGTTTTACTTAACCTAGAATATTTAACGTGTTATTTTCACAATGTGCAATGGATGTCAACAATTCTGAATGAGATGGTATATATTCTGTCTTATTAAGCCTTTGCAGTCGGCCAGGTGGTTTACACTCACAGCACAATGAAGTCTGTTCAAGGGCTCAGTGCCCCATGTGACTCGAGGCAGTGCAGGTCTGCCAGGCTTTTCTAGAGTGCGATGGGAAAAGGTTTTATTTTTGTGTTTTTTTTTAAAGATTTTATTTATTTGTTTGCCAGAGAGAGATACAGTGAGAGAGGGAACACAAGCAGGGGGAGTGGGAGAGGGAGAAGCAGGCTTCCTGCCAAGCAGGGAGCCCGATGCGGGGCTCAATCCCAGGACCCTGGGATCACGACCTGAGCCGAAGGCAGACGCTTAACGACTCAGCCACCCAGGCGCCCATGATGGGAAAAGGTTTTAAGCGCAAGTGTATCTTAGAAAAATGCTAGCCCCAAAAGAGAACAAGTAGCTTTTTGGAGGTTCTCACCACCACCTTTTGGGCACTCTCACCTACTGAGGTACCTCCGTTTATAAACGAGTAATTTGGGAACAAGGTCTCTTTCTGCAGACTCTACCTTACGATGGGGTTATTTGAGGGCAGTTTTGGAGTACAGATGGCAGAGCCCTGTCCTGGCTTTTGTCCAGAGTCCTGAAAAGGGGAAGCCGCTCTCTCAGCTCCCAAGTGGTTCTACCCACCTTTCACATGGTGACCAGGACAGAGTCCTTCGATTTTCACCTTTAGGTTTCTCTTCTGTGATCCCACGGTGTGCAGATAAAAAGCAATGTATATACCTCATACATTAAGCAATGCCTTCATACTGTACATGTAAAGAATTGCTAAAAAAAAAAAGTAATTCTTTCCTTCTAAGCTGTCATCAAAAGGACTCTTTCACATCTCCAGGAGCAGCATTAGAAGATGTAAACTCAAACAGCATGGCTGGGGATCAGACTACTTCAGTCACCTCTTGGAAAGACTCCTAACCCTTTCTCTATCCCCCACATAAGGAACTTCAAGAGGTCAGTTCATTTCACAGGGGTGCCTGGGTGGCCCATCGGTCAAGTGTCTGACTCTTGGTTTCAGCTCAGGTCATGATCTCAGGGTCCTGGGACTGAGCCCCATGTTGGGCTCCATGCTCAGAGTCGGCTTCAGATTCTCTCTCTCCCTCTGCCCCTCCCACTTCTGTGCACGCGCTCTCTCTCAAATAAAATCTTGAAAGAAAAGAAGAAAGAAAGAAAGAAAGAAAGAAAGAAAGAAAGAAAGAAAGAAAGAAAGAAAGAAAGAAAGAAAGAAAGAAAAGAAAGAAGGAAGGAAGGAAGGAAGGAAGGAAGGAAGAAAAGAAAGAGAAAGAGAGAGAGAGAAAGAAAGAAAGAAAGAAGGAAAGAAAGAAAGAAAGAAAGAGAGAGAGAGAAAGAAAGAAAGAAAGAAAAAGAAAGTCCCCGAAATATGCAGATTAGAGCCAGCCGTTCGGGGGGCTTTTTTCTGGTATCACAATAAGGTTTAACTGGTAGGAAAACGCTTTTCAGTTTCTCTGGGCTCTGTCTTATTGGAGAAGCAGCACAAAAATTGTTCTGAATCTCCAAGGAGTTACCAGGTGCTTAATGACTTGCCAGGGTAATAAACAACTGAATTCTGGGAAGTCATTATGTGAGACATTACCTACCACCTTCCTCTGCCTTTGAGAATTAAATTAAACACAGTCTGGGTGGAATTGGGAAAAAGCATGGGTTTTGAAGTCTGACAAACATGAATTTGAGCCACGATTCTGTCACTGATAGCCACATAATCTTTGGACAAATTGCTTATATCGTTGAGCATCAAGGTACTTACCTGTAAAATGGGTAAAATATAGATCTTGCAAGGTAAGAATTATGGAGGAAAGATAAGAAGGTTGCTTATTTATTGCTGCATAACAAATTACCCCCAAAACTTAGAGGCTTAAAACAACACTTATGATCACACTTTACGTGGGTGGGGAATCTGGGCATGGTTTAGCTGGGTCCTTTGGCTGAGGATCTCCCAAGGCTTCCATCAAGGTGTCAGCTAGGGATACAGTCTCATTTCTAGACTTAACTGGGGAAGGATCTGCTTCTGAGCTCTCCCATTGATTGCTGAAAGAATCTAGTTCCTCATGGGCTTTTGGACTGAGGGTATTGCTTCCTTACTGGCTGTTCGTGGGAGGTCTCCTTCAGTTCCTTGCCATGTAGGCTCTCCACAGGGCAGCACACAACATGGCAGTTTGTGTCATCTGAGGAAATAGGGAAGAAGAGTCAGAGAAAGAGAGAGACGACCAGACAGAAATCCGTCTTTTATAACCTAACCTTGGAGGTGACATCCCATCACTTTCGCTATATTCTGCTGGTCAGAAGCAAGTTAGGAGGTCCAGCCCACATTCAAGGGAAGGGGATTATACATGGGTGTAAGTGTCAGGAGGAAAGGACGGTTGGGAGCCATTTTGGAAGCTGTCTGCCATGATCTTTAACATTCTCAGTAAATAGTTGTAATAACCAGACATGACAGCATTTTGAAAAGCAATGTTCACCACAGAAATAAAAGAAATATACTGGCATATGTATTAGGGTCAGGAAATTTAACAATCATATGACACTATCAGTCTATAAAAGAGGCTGATGCTAACCAATGCTAGGTTTCCCAAAGACTACATTTAAAGATGCATTTAACTTATATTAAATACTGATTTGAATTTGAAGACCAAATGGCAAAGTTTGGAGTTAAAAGGCACTAATTTCCCCTACCTAATGTTTTATCATATATCCAAATCCCTTTCTAGTTATTTTAGGATGTCCATGTTTTTATGGGGATGTAAATAAAAATATGCATCTCAGTTTTCTCAGTTAGCAATATTATAAAGGCTTTTAATCCTGCTGTACATTCTTTATAATTAGCAGCTTAATCGCAAGATAATATTTCTATTCCATAGATAAATGTAAGAGCCATGGTTTACTTAACCATTCCCTTATTCTGTGATATATAACTTGCTTCAGTGTTTTAGCAATGCTGTGATTGAGTATCTTTTGTATGGTAAGTTTTTTTCCCCCACAATTTGAATTATGTCTTTAGGATAAGTCCCAGAAAAGCAATTAGAGTATGCACATTTTAATGGCTCTGTCAAGTTTCTATCCAAATGAGAAGACAGCTTTGTTTTTTTAAGCAAACATTACTCCATCAGCCCCAGATTGAGTTCCTCCAAGACAGACATCCTACCTTATTTAAATTAAACAAAACAACAACAACAACAAAAACAAAACAAAAAAACCATGGCGCCTAGCCTGTAAGGACATTTAATGAATATTTTGTGGAACAAATGAGTGAACCAAAACATTTTAAAATCTGAGACTTTAGGAAAAATATTTAGGCTAGATCTCTTACAACTTTTTTTTTTTTTAATTAAGAGATGTTGTATTTCCATTTAGATTTCCCTGAGATGTCGAGGACCTATTCATGCCAAGTGTCGGGTAGTGTTACCCTTTCCTTATCTCATTTTCTCCTCACAGCGCCCCCTACAGTTCATTCTCCGCACAGCCACAGAATGAAATGCTCAAGCATAAATCAGAGGAGGGCACACGCTTGCTTTTTTAGAGGGGCTTGATCTGACAAGCCCCCATCATTTAAAGGAAAACTCGGTCTTCTTCTCTGGGGAGAATACTAGTTCTGGAGAAATTTCTACTTAGGTGGAAACAAAATTTCCACCCAAAAACCAGGAGTCACCGAAGGGAATTTTCCTGAATATAGTTTAGCCTAGGCAACGGGTCATTTTAGTTAAACTATGAATCAGAGTTATGTACCATTTTGGTAAGCAGGGCACAACTGACTCTGAAAAAAAATAATTTTACTGGTCAAAATTTACACTGGCTGATGCGCCCTGTGTCTCTTAGAATTTCACAGTACTCTCCTCCCCACCCCACCCCATCCCCGACTTTTGTTTTTTAAGAAAATTTCTTATTTCAGGAACTATCACTTTCATTTCTTAGACCCAGAAGGCCAAGTTGCTTGCACAAGCTCGGAGAGCGTGAGTGACACAACCAGAATGCCCCCAGTGTCCCAAACCATCGCTGGCTTAGAGGCTAACCTTGAACCACAGCGCCCCCAGGTGGGCGGCGAGTGGTTTGGCTTTTCCACCTGGGCGACTCCTCACCCAACCGGCGCTTCCTTTTTCTCCTTTCAGGTGAAGGAGGCCATGCAACGGATCCACGACCGGGGGAATATCGGCAAATTAATTCTGGATGTAGAGAAGACCCCGACTCCACTGGTGAGTCAAAAGCAGAGGGTCCGTTCAGTTCAACACAAGAGGGTCTATCAGGTGTGGGCACAGGTCGGGTAGGGGGAAATACAAGCAGTTCTGGCTCGCACAGCAGACCCGCGTAATCAAATGATGGTGCAAATGAGCGATTAGTCACAAAACTGGGATGCAGGCTAAAAGAGAAAAGAAGATACTTCAGTGAGAACATTTCAAGAGCAATCCGAGGGCAGTCAGGAAAGGACAGGAATAATCGACCTGTGTCTATGACAAGTGCTGTCTCTTGGCTGCCACAAGTGGGAGGAATTCCTGGTAAAATCAAATAAACTCACATTCACATATTCAACAGACGGAGGCTACTTGCTTCCGAGATGCCTGCTGATGATTGCATTGCTTTTGTTTCCTTTCGTCGGGATGATACCCTTACATCCAGGGATCCCACCGGGAGTGAAGCATGTCACACTCTTGCAAGGGCCACTGGTCCAGGGTGGGGGAGCAGGCAGTGTAGTGTGGCACACAGAGCGCCATCAGGCTGCGTGGATTCGAAGCCTGGCTCTGATGTCCTGTGTGTCACCCTGGGCAATTATTCTGCCACTCCGTCCTCAGTATCCCTGCCTGTAAACTGGAGATTGATGAGTTCTCTCAAGTCAGGTGAGAGATGATGAGACACATAAAGCATTGGCTCGTCCATCCCAAGTTCTAGGAAAGGTTTCACAAAGAAAATACTTAGGAAGGGCTTTTTTTCTTTGTTTGCTTTCTCACCTGTTTAGTCTTAAACCTGCATCAGGCATTTGTAAAAGAGAAAGAACTAAAATCTTTGCATGTTTTACTCTGTGTGTGTGTGTGTGGTTTTTTTCAAGTGTTTCCTTGGCTTTTGTAACCACAATGTAGTGTGGGAATGGCAGTCATTTCACTCAATGAAGGATGACTTCATGAGAGGGCATTTTACAAAATGCAAGTGACTGATTACAATCGGGACCTTGTCTATTAAGTGCTTACTAAGTCCCAGGACTCCGCCAGCAAATGTCTGAAGGCAGATGAGGGGTTGAGACACGCGAGGAGAAGGGGGCTGGGTCCCAGGTCTTCTGTACACCTATGTTGTTCTTAAAACACATGACCAGACCTATTGTACCTTATCAGTAGAGGAGATCTAGAGCCAGCCTGGACAGTTTGTTGCTTTTAAGTAGGATAGCTGGCATCAGCTTCCCTCCTGTCTCCATAACACATGAGGTCCCGCTGGGCCCTCAGGCTTGAGGAAGGCCTGTTTGACCACAGGGGATTCTCATCAGAGCAGGAGCTGAAAAGCCCAATTCTGAGTATAACAGCTCAGGGCCTTCCTTGGCGTATGCTATGGCCCTTGTTCCTGAATCTCAGGAGGGCTCTTATGAGGCTTTGGCTAGAGCCAAAATCCACGTCTTCACAGAAATGACATTCCAATGGGGGGGATGTAGACAACAAGGCAGACAAACGCACGTGTGTCAGCCTTATTGTTCTGGCTCTTAGGAAGTGACAGCACCAAGATTTGAACCTGGCCAGTCTGTGCAGTGGATGCTCTGAGTGCCCCCATGTCCCCCAGTACCTGACCCCTCTGTCTGAGAGCCCCCAGCCACAGGGGCATGTATGGCCAGTATGTACATAACTGCCAGAGATGCCAGAGTAGCCACTCCTTGGCTTCTTACCTCCTCACGTGGGAAACCGTGAGGGGTGTCCCTCACTGGCTCCCAGTGGTCCCGGCATGACTGAGCCCCGGCTGCCCACAGTAGGAGCCTACTTATTAGCTCACACTGTACTGACTTCCTGGCCTTTCCTGCCTCGCGCCCTCCCTCCCTACCCGGGCTTCCTGGCATCATCTCCCAGCTTCCAAATATTTGCACTCAAATCCTTATCTCAGAGTCTGCTTCTTAGGACACCCAACATAAGACGGCCAGCACCACAATGCCTTCCTGGGAAGAAAGCAACCCTAACTCTTAGCCCTCAAAGAAGTCCTTCCCAAGGGGGCTTCCTCAGATGCTTGAAGAAGGTGAGAGACAGACCGCAGACCCTCTAAAATGTCCTCTGTTGAACCGCAGATGGCCAACGACAGCACAGAGACCAGCGAGGCGGGGGAGGAGGAGGAGGACCACGAGGGAGACAGCGAGAACAAGGAGCGGATGCCCTTCATCCAGTAACGCAGGACCCAGGCAGCAGAATGTGAAGGACGGTCTGGAACAAGACGAGCCGGTCGAGAAAGCTCTTCTGTACCCCAGTGAACAAATGCCGTAGTCCACTGTGTGTTGTGTTTGTCTGCAGTCAGCTGAGCTAAAAGCTGTTGATCACTGTTGTTTTTGAAATTAAGTGCCAAGCCCATTCCATGCAGTATTATGTCCCTCCCTCATCTGTGTATCACACTCTCCCGCCTCCCCTACTTCAGAACCATCCGTCTTTGGGTCCTTCTTGACAGTTCTAGAACAGCCTTGCAAATTAATACAAGCCCAGAGCCCAAAGCCTATGAGACCAGACATAGGCAAAGACAAGTTTGGGTTGAAAGGTGTTATCATAAAAGCAGTGTCCAGATCCTAGAATTCTTCGGGCCAATGACACTTTTTGCTGCCAGCCACCCGTGATTCTGACAAGAGCACTTGCCAGTGTGGCTGGCAGAAGGAGGGTAGGCCAGGAGGTGCTTTTATGAGCCCATACGTTTAGGATCTCTCCAAATAGTACTTTCCCTCTCCCCATTTGAGAGGCACCTTCCTTACATCCATTCAGTTGTTTATTGGTCAAAAGGTTGAACCATTCTCCTCTAGCATCAGCCTCTGATGCTTGATCCCTTCACTGGTTCTTAACCATCAATACAGGAGTTTTCAGGATAGAAGATGGGTCAACAGCATGAGTTTGAGCATCAGCCACAGAGATTTCTCCTCTGAAACCAGGTCTCATGAGCAAAATCCCCCCACCCCGGCCGCCCGCCATATATATTTTCTTTTAATTCTAAGAAAACTCACCACGCGTGGGACTATTTCAGAAGTCATTACTGAGATTTGCCTATGTTTGCACACTTGCCATGGGCATTACCGATTTTGCTCTTTTCATTTCCAGGTAGTGAGCAGCTACCTTTACCAAGGATCCCCCAAGGAAGACCTCCCTGGTAGACCATATTAGGGGGGAAAAAAAAAAATCAATGAGTATCTCTTTTCTTGCCAAAGCATGTTCTGACATGTAACAAACTCTAGCGATAAAAACGGTTGATGTTCAGTATCTGATGCCAAATGTGCAGTTCCTCTCCTCTAAAATACAAAATTATGGTGCAGACTCTTCGCAAGCCCCTGCTTTTTGGAAACCAGGGACCAAACTACTTGATTATACACCATTGTCTAATTTTCCAGCTCCTACACTCTTAAGACACCCCACACTCCGCCCACTATACTTGATATGTCTCAAGGTGAACAGTTCCCCTGAAGGATGAGAGAGAGGCTCAGTGTCTCCATAGGGGGGGCTCCTTATTCCCTCCTCCCACTCCTTTTGGCTCAAATGGTGATTCCTTCACTCACAAACAGAGCTGGAGACACAAGGAGCCCACATGATTAGCACCCCAAGTCACTTTGCCTTCTGGAACACCTTGGAGGGCTCCCTGATTGCCCCATCTCTCCACCAGTGAGCCTCAGGGTAGACCCAACTCTTTCCCGAAATGATGGGAAGGAATGCATTCCAGCAATTACCTTTTTATTTCCAAAGTCCCTTTATAAGAACAATCACCTCATTAGTCATGTTCTTTTTTCCTGCACTAAGCTTGTGATGGTGACATTTATGCCAAATATTTATCTGAAGGGAGTTTCTCCTCATTGTGAATGTACATATAAAATATGGGCACAAGAAAGGGTGCTTCCATCTGATGAGCAGAGAGATGAGAGTATCTCAGAAGAAGACACTCACGTCATCTTCTCTTCATACCCCAGGACTCACCAATATTTCATTTCTGGGCCATTTAGAAAGATAATGTGGAGAGTTTTCACACACCCCACCCAATACTTTCACTAAAATGCTGTATTCTTGGTCATGTTTCTCCCATAACCAAGCTGACAATGATGTTTTAAGAAGAACCACTACCCAAGTGACATTCCTGGTGAGCTGGACAGAAATGGCATTTTCTAGGGCTGGGGTAACAAAGAGCCATTGGCCAAATCAGGGCTGTCCTCTGCGAGGGGAGTGGGAGCTCTATGTGCAGAATCCAAATGGCCTTTGTTCTTGTCCAGAGGAGAGGCGTTAAAGAAATCATGCTTCCCCAAATCTGTTTTTCAACTAGCAAAATTAATACAGTCATCATATATAATGGGAGTTGGTTAAAGAAAACCCTTTTGTCACTCCAGAATACAGGGTGAGAAGAGAAAACTAGAGTTTGACTATCAAGGTCCAGTTATGCCATTAAGAACAGAAGAAAAGAAAATGCCAAAATTAGCCGTTTAATGCACTCTCGTTTTAAGCACCTTCTTCCTGTCACGTGACTGGTTTTCTGAAGGAAGTATAAGGAAAGTCTCAGTTTGCCTTAAAGGAACTGTGAAGGCTTCTCTGTCATTTAAACTTGATTGGAGTGAACTGAAACATTGTCTAACGTATTTGTGGCTTTAGAGCTTTTGTTACATTGTGCCTACAAAGCAAATTATGTTTACATAAAATATATAAATAAAGTATTCAGCATAGCATAACCTTGCCTGGCATATTGGTGACTCCACATAAACAGTTGTTGGAAAAGCAGCCCCACTATTAAAATGCAAGAAGTGGGTGACTCAAAAAGGAAAAAAAAATACGTGATAGAAGAATTTTCAAATGAGAAACTAAAGACTGTGTAGAGAAAATAGGAGGCACGATGAGACAAGCCTTTAAAAAAAAAAAATTCAAGTTCCCTCAAGCAAGAAAGTATAACCACTAAATAAAGTAACTACTGAAGACATCATATAATGACAATAATTATAATCGCGCTTATGAGGTACCTACAATATGCTGTTAAGAGAACTGTATCTCTCTATATAAACTAAAGTTAAATAACATACATATTAATTTGCCTACCCTCCCAATAGCCCTGAGAGGTAGGGTTTATCATTACACCCATTTTATAGGTGACAAGACTGAAGATTAAGGTTCTGCACTTGCCCAAGATCACATCGCTAGTAAGTGATGGGGCCAGGATTTCGAGCCAAGCTAGAACCCATGCTCTTAATCACCCTATCACGCTTCTTGGCTTAACTAGGGTGAAATATGATGCATTTCAAATTACCATCCCTTGTTTTCTAGAAACTCTTCAAGTATTCTGTTTCCTCTGATTTCAAGGATATGTTTGTAAATTTGTTCTGTTTTGTAGCAAATAATATATCAGAAGCATTTTTTTTTCTGGCCCTCCATCCCAGGGTTCAGTGAGGTACTGATTTTAAAACTCACACATCTCTCTCTCTCTCAAAAAAAAAAAAAACCCTCACACATCTCAGCCCTTTTCATTTTGATGATCTAATATCCTCAAGGTTATCAAAGAGATACAGAAAAGTAAATCCCCAAGGCTAAGACTTCATGAAAGAGGAATTAAATGATTAGGGAGGCTTTATTGTGTTTACCATATTCACAGCAGGAAGCCAAAAAAATAGAACTAAGCCCCATGTCAATAAAAGGCCACATACATAAATCTGAATTTGCAAGGTAGAAATATTACTCACATTGTCAGTGAAATTCTTTCAAAGTGCCTGCACAAAGGATTTTCTTACAATATTCTAATTTAATGTTCATGTACTCCATATAAACCTCATGGTCTTACTTAGCCAGTGTTGGTACACTGTCACATTTAAACACAGTCCAGCAACTGGAATCGAAACTAAAATCCACATCTTCACTTACAACTCTGAGAATGGGGAAGAGGTCCAGCAGTTGGAAACAAAATTCTTTTCAGCAGTGTGAATGATGTTTTGGTGGTAATGGAGGTAAACCTTTCAAAAGCCATTTGCGGCATAAGGAAGGAAATGTTTGTGTAGAAGCAAGGAGGTGAGAACTTCTGAAGGGCATAATGATGATTGGAGAGTAGAACAGTGTAGCTGAAACACACACACGGGGATGGAGTGGAACAGGAGAGAGGCACGATGGGGAGTTGGTACCAGGTGTGGAGGTCTTTGAACACCAAGTCGATGGTCCTGGATTTCTGTGGAAAGGAACAAGGATGTGTGGTGGTGGTGTGGCGTGAAAGTTTGGGCATGGAGGTGATTATCAAGAGTAAATGTGGGGTTCAATGCAAAGAGGGATATGAGATGAGCCTAAATATGGTCCCAGGGAGACATCAAGTACCTCAATTCCCCCCGCCCTCATTTGCATCCTCTGGAATCAGACGTTAAGTGTCAGAACAAGGACTTGAGTATCAGCAGTGTTGGGAGGTGATCCCAAGAAGCACAGCTGGGGGAAGAGGAATATAAAACAGGAAAGGGAAGAAGCCAGTTCAGGGGATGTTGATGAGCAAGTTACCACTGTGGGAGAGGTAAACAGGCCCCAGAGTGTCTCATTTGAAAGGTGAGGAAATTGTCCTATTTATCTATCAATTCCCAGGCATCATTGGTAGAGGGCTACTTCTGACAAGTGTGTTGATTCCCTGATGCTCTTGACCTTCCCCTTGTGGCCTGACAGTGCCCTTGGACGAACAGCCACAAAAAGCCATTAGGATATAGAGGAGCAGTGAGGGGATTTGGAACAGTTAAGTTCCCAGAGCTCTTACTGTAACTCTTCCAGGGAATTGGCTCTTTCTTCGGAAGTCAAATGGGGAAGCTGTTGAAGCTTTCTACTAACCATATGCCAGGCTTACTAACTACTTCCCCACTCCAGCTATCGCATTAGCTCACACCACCCTTTCAGTTTTGCTTTTTTTTTTAAAAAAAATTTTTTTATTTATTTATGAGAGCGAGCAAGCTAGTGAGAGAGAGCCTGAGCTGGGGGGAGGGGCAGAGGGAGAAGCAGACTCCCCACTCCCCTGAGCAGGGAGCCCAATGCGATGCAGGGCTTGATCCCAGGACCTGGGACCATGACCTGAGCCGAAGGCAGACGTTTAACCGACTGAGCCACCCAGGCACCCCTTGTTTTGCTTTTTGTTATGTTAATTGGTCTCTTGACTTGAAGAATATGGCTTTTGCACAGAGACAGCCAAAATGCCTCCCCTCACCCAACCTTCACTGTGATAAGTACTTTCATTGGGGTCTTCCTGCCAAATTTCAGGTCTTATCACTGGGGCCAGAAGATCTGGGACTCTATGTTAAAGAAAGACATATGTTTGTTCAACAGATATTATTAATGAACATTTACTGGGTGTAGGACCCTGTTTCGGGTCCTAGAAATAGAAAGAAAATAAGACACAGACCTTTCCTCAAGAAATTCAGTCAAAAAAAAAAAAAAGAAGAAGAAATTCACAGTCTAAAACTGTGGTATCCAGTAAAGATATGAATATG